ACATATGCATATAGCATCTACATATGTGTATGATATATATATATATATATATTATATATGCGATGTCTGGGTCCTTTCATATTGAAATAGGCTGTTTCTGGCTAAATGTTGCTAAGTACTCAGCTCTTCATCTGCAGCCTGGGACAGAAACACAGCTCAACACAGTAGAAACTGTTGAGTAATGTCAGTTCCATTTAGTACATCAAACGTCATCAATAGGGAGATTAAGGAACCCTCAAGAGCCAGTCACTATGATTAGTCATTCACAGGCATGTGTAATCCTTATCATAGCCTTAAAATGAGCATTAATATCTTTATTTTACAATTAAAAAAATGGGGAAATTCACCAAGATGTGATGTCATTTGCCCAAAGTAGACAAGTCACTGTCTAAAGATCCTCCATGCCCAGTTTCTCTTCATGAAACCTCAGGATAAACCCCCAGCAAATTTCCCCAAAAACACATATTTTATCTTTAAATTCTGTCAGCAACTCTGTGTTCCAAAGAATAAATCTCATGCTCACTGAATTAGGTCAAGTCTTGGGAGAGAACAAGTTGAAAGGATTGAGCTGAGAGAAAACTGTGTCTGTCCTGGAGAAGGCCAACTTGTCAGTGGACTCGGAGGATATCTTCGGCACCTACCTAAGTTACCAGCTAAGACCGTCATCATGAAGAACAGAAGGTGGAACCTGCTCACACCAGTAAAGGTCTATGCAAATCCAAAGAACCAGACACCAGCACACCTGCTTTGATATCATTCTCAAAACTTTTTTGGACAGCTCTTGAAAATCAAAATTTTATAAGAGAGCACAAAAATAAGACCAAAAAATATGTACAAATCCTTTATTTGGTGGTGTTTGCTCCAGCTTTTAAAGTATAAGGGTGGTTACAGTGAGTTTGAGGCCTAAAAAGAAACATCTTAACTAATCTCAATGCAATTTTAGAGATATTGGTAAGGAGTGTGTTTGTAGACTACTAAGACTTCCCCTTTCGAACATGTATTTATAAAGACAGAAATGAATTGTTTTTCAAAGACCAATATAAAACCACTGAAAAATGACATTCTACACCACTTTATTTAGTATTGTCATTAATAAGATTTTATAGTGCATACCTATAAATATGTATGTATACATTTAAGTGTGTACGTGTGCATGTGTATATACATGTTACTTGAGCCGTTTGAAGAATGGTTATGTTGTGCAATGTTTTACAAAACTACCATGGACAACACAGACCTCTATTTTACAATGGACAATATTCCCAAAAGGTAGGTTTTTCTCTGATTTCATGCACCATTTATTTTAACCATGAAATGAGAATGGCTTGAAGTTAAAGGGAAATAAAAATAAAGAAAACATAATTAATACATTTAAACCCATAATGAGATTTGTTCTGGCAAATCCAGGAGGATTATGAACAGGCCTCCAAGCACAGGGAGCCGAAAGCTAAGGGTTCTTCAACTGAATATTTAAATTAAGGTAATGGAGGAGATGCATTTCCTAAGCCACAGAGAGCTTGAACATCAGCTCAGAAACACACATGCCACTGTCCAGATAGTCAATATGCTGGTACAATATAGCAGGATTTGAAAGAGTTCCCTTTCTCCACCTGCTAATGTTTGGCAAGAAAGCTGGCTAAAGGAACAAAAACTGACATAATATTTTAATTGATTTTAAGATTATTTTGTTTAAAAACCTAAAGCTCACTGATTTGAAAACTATTTATTTTAGACTATATTCCAGCACTCTCCTCCATTTTATTTAAGTATAGATAGCCCTCTAAATTATATTACCCAATGAATTATTCATACAGAATAAAACAGAACTCTAAATACATAAAGCTCATCGCTAAGAATCAGAGAGAATAAAATCCCTGCCACTTAAGAGGTGGCCAGACACTCACCCTACCAATTTATAAGCTGGGATATAGTAAATGTGATCAATATTGAGGGTATCTTTGGTCCTTTAAGGAACAAAAGGGAGGATTGCCGTTTTCTGCCACGTGTTATTCCACCAGGGACATGCTGGAAATCCTTTAGCATGAAAACCTTTGAAACACAACCCGCCATGGCAGAAACAGAGCTTTGGGCTCCTATCTGATTCATACAGTCAGTCATATTTTGAATAACAAAGGTAAACCAGCATCTCCCCTTTTAAAAAAAAAACTGAAGGTCCATAAACTGGGAAATATATCATTTGAAAGAAAATCTGCCATCAAAGGACTGTCATGGCTTCTGTGGATGGGGTGGGGGGAGCATTATGAACTTGGTGTTTCGCCATCTTCTTCCCAGCAACCCCAGCTCCCATCTTCCTCCCCACCTCTGTGGGGGTTTGCCTCTTGGGATCCTTAATGAAACAATAAAGTAGGAATCAAGAGAATTCGGGAAAGGCTTAGGCTGCTAAAAGGTAACCATTTTCTCACGCTGGCTTCTGTAGGCCATCTTGTTCGTTTAAATGCCAAGATGTCTTAATCTGTCCCAGGTGGTGTCACCAGGGGCAACACCATCGCTGGTCTGAGACTAATGTTCCTTGGTCAAATGACCCGCAATAAAGGGCTGTCAGGCAAACAGTTAATTGATGCAAACGAAGAAAGCCATCATCCCTGCAGTGAGATACATTAGAACAGAAAGAACAATGGACAGTTCTAGAAAGAAAAAAAAAGCGGTGTGCGTTAAAAAATAAAATAAATCCACAATTTCCCTCGCTGAGAAGGATGATAAATATCGGGGGGAAGGGAGTTAACTGAAATCTGATAGAATAAGTAAGATTGGTCTGGGGGAGGGGGAAGAAGCACGCACATCACCACGACGGGGGCAGGGAGGGGGTGTCATTTGTGTCCAAGGGTTTCATGAAACATTTAGGGCAAACGCCTTTGTTCCTGGCCTCGGGAGGGGAGTGGGTGGATGGATGATGGGGAGATCAGATGGGGCTGCCTGGCCCTCCACACCCTGCTCTCTGGCGCATGCGCGAGGCCAAGACAAAGGAATAGGTAATTACAGTCCCGATTCATTCATTTTGCCCGCAGTACTGGAGGTCTGTGAGCCTTTGCTGGGTTCCCAAGGGTGGAGGTTAATCCACACCCCATCAGCAGCCCCTTTAATACGCGTGTTTCATTTTAACCCCGCCACGCAAGTGGCCAGCGGTATTGGCTAAGACAGAGGTGTGTCATCCCCCGTACAAAACACTGAAATTGCACCCATGTGCGTCGTGCTCCTTTCCACAGAGTGAAAAATCACTGGGGCAGAGGCCGTTCACCGAGTTCGTCTCAAGGCGGAAATGTCTCGGGGGAAGCAGATTAGGAACAGGGCCAAGAGTTCGATGAATATTCATGAAAAGAATGCGGTCCCCAGCCACGCATTGTGTGCCATCGGATCCAGGCATTCTGCAATAATTTTCTTTTAATGGTGAGGGGAAGCGGGAAACGGACGTTGGGTTGTAGCCTTTAAGCTACGGGCAAAAAATCTACAGAAATCTTGGCTTGCAGCAGGGTTGAGCCCGTTGGGGCCGCGCGCTGTCAGGTTCAAGCCCACACCCCCTAGGCTGGGGCGGCGGTGGAGGCGCACGGCGCGTTCTCAGAGCGCAAGGCTCAAAAAAGAAAATGCTGGAGATGTCCACAGGTTATGCGAAAACAGCTCAGCCGCAGACCGGCTTGGGGCTTTGATCTGGCCCGGACGTGCACACCGCCTTCTGAACCTCGTGTTCCTCGGTTACCCCAAACCAAGATCCAAGAGTCCCGCGGGCCAAGCCAACCCCCGCCCCTTCTAATCGGACCAGATTCCGTGTCTTCTTTCTCTCTCCCCACCCCACCCCCACCCTCCATCTTCTGCTGCTGCGCCCCTCACACGGAGGGCTTTCTCCGTGGCTGTGCGGGTTCCGATGACAGAAGGCTGGGTTCAGCCCACAAAACCGTGGCTGGTGGATTCGAAGGGTTTAAAGGGTTTCGCACTAGGTATTTCCCGGTCATCAGCAGCTTCCCACCCTCCATTCCCTCCCTTCCGAACTCGGTTCATCAGCCTCGCCACCACCCGCCTCAAGCTCCCCACCCTATGAAAGGCCGAAGCTGTCCACCTGGGGGGATAGCATCACCCTGGATCCCCCAGTACGATAGAGCCCACGTAGAGAAGCCCTACGCCCACTGTGTCTACTCCCGGCCTCACCCAGCTGCACCCACGGAGAACCCTGGGCTTCAGGGTGGGGCGGGGCCCTGGGGAATCGATGGCCCTGAGTCCGCTGTGGCGTTAAAGATCCACCGCGCGCCTCCTTACCTAGGCTTTGGGTGCCTGTGCCGGCCCTGGGTGAGCGCGGTGCCTCCAAGGGGCCCGGGTGGCTGGTGTCGTCCGACCCGGTGCCTGGCTGCTCGGCAAAGACTCTCTCCTGGCTCGACGGCGGAGCCCGGAGCGTGGAGCGAGTTGGAGCGCTGCCGCCGCCGCCGTCGCCGCTGCCGCTACTGCCGCCGCCGCTGCAGCCTCTGCATTTCTCGCTCGCTCCCCCTCCCCTTCCTGCCCAGCGCCCTCCCCCCGCGCGTCCGCCCGCCCAGCTCCTCCGCTCGCCGACCCCGCCCGCCTCGCGCCCGCCCCTCAGCTCCTGGCCCGCGCCACACCAGCTCCTTTAGCGCCCCGCTACCCGGGGGTCCCCAACTTCTCTCCTCCTGTAGCCCCTGTGTCCCGAGACGCCCCGTGATCCAGCGCCCCCCCAGTCGCCACACCCTCACAGTCACCCCCACCCTCTGCTACCCTCATCCAGATCCCTCCCCTCCAGCCCTGTGCCTTGCCTGCCTCCCCAACAGTTTCTGTTAGTCCCCCTCCTATCCCCATCTTGCACGCCCCTCCATCCTCCCACCCACGGAGGTACTGTCTGTAGATTTCTTCTCTGTGTCTCACACACATTTTATTTGAAAGCACTGAATAAGTAGCTCAGGCTCTGGCTCAGACTTAAGGGGCTGATGAACTACGCCCCCACCGCAGCCAGCTTTCTCTGCGCCCCAGTCCAGCCAGCTCCAGACGTCGGGCTGAGATTCTGGAATCACATAGGCAGTGAGATTGGGGGAGACGCGATGCTTCCCTTGAAACCATCAAGACAGATGTGCTCGGGTTTTTAGGGTGTACCCCCAAGGCAAGCATATCTGGGGCGTCTCCAGGCAGATGCTAACCCTCGGGGTCAACCAGGAGGCTGCAGCTTTGCGTGACACCACCGCCCAGAATCCAGGTCCGGGTGGAGGGGTGGGCGGCACCGCCCCTCGGGGGGATGTTCTCCCGACTTCGGAGAGGAAGAAAGGAAGAAATGCACCCTAGGAAAATGGGCTTCGACTTTTTGTGTCTGTGCTTTCATGGAAGTCACCAGTTCTCTGGATGCTTAAGATGCCACTCAGAAGCGCACCGAGCCAGACTGTGGCTAGCCTTGCTAAGTCCGCCTGTCTTGGTCGGCGACCACTTAGGGTAGCCCCGGGATAAACAATAGCCATCAAGGTTAGGAGATATATTCGCCATGCTTACCTGTTGACAAAAAATGCAAAATAAAATTTAAAATTTGGAAAATAATACATGGTAACATCTTTTAGAACCAAGGCTTTTCAGACAAAAGCCAATTTTACCATCCCGAAAGCTATGGAGCCCTGGAACTACCGTTCGCGGCACTTTGGCGCCCTCTGGCTGTGTCAGGATTGCTTGCTTGTTCTGCTTCGTCCCAAACGAAGAGGGGCAATGGAAATGCTTGCTGTTCTCTTGGCTGGATCTACCCTCCTGAGAGGAGCACGAATTCAGAAGGACCTTGTTCTCCACGGTCGCGATGGCAAAACATAATCATATTTAGGGAGACAAACGCCAAAGGTAAGCACCTGCTTCTGTCAGCATCTCACCTAGGAAAGTTAAGTCTTCCTTGACAGAAAAAATAAATAATAGAACCTTAATAAAAGTGGCAATAGAAGTGTCAGATCTTAATCAAAGAGTGATGGGGAAAAGGTGAAAATATTTTGTGGTGACTGATTCTCCTCCACCACCTCCTCCTGCTCCCCCTCCTCCTCCTATTCTTCCCCTTCTCCTCCCTCTCTTCCTCATCCCCAGCCCCCCTTCCCTCCTTCCCTCTATCTCAATAGATGATAGATAGATAGATAGATAAGATAGATGATAGATAGATCTTTCTTTCAACCTCTCTCCTCTCCCCCTCCCATCTTCCCCCTGCTTAAACTAATTAAGAAATCAAACAGTACAAGAACAGGAAATCAGATTCCAAATGAGATTTATTCAATTGAGCATTTCTTTCTCTTATGTCAGTATACTACCTATGACGCTAGACCTATTTGGGGTGCTGTGGCTCCCACACCAGAACCAATTATGACAACCAAAACTGTTTCCAGATATGGCCAAATGTCCTCTGGAGGCAAAAAACCATACCAGAATGAAAGCCAGTCGATGAGTCATTTTTAAAGTTCTTAAAGCAAGCCTCTGTTTCACTCTGTTAATGAGATGAATGTTTATAATGTATGATAGTTACTGTTTGCTAAAGGAGCTAAGTAGTATGTGGAGCTGAGTCGGGGTGGGTGGGTGTTACACCATGTGACATCCCTCACTTAGAATTCGGGTACTTTTTATCCCAGTGATCATCTTCAAATTAATAGACCTTTCTACTGTGTTTGCAGGATAAATCTGTAGGAATTGTCTTCCTTTATGTAGCCTCATGTTTAATTTTTTGAAAATAACAGATAAGAAAATTATTGTTCAACACCTTTGGTGCTTCTGGCTAGGGTTTTAGGATGGAGAGAGAAAACAAGCCTTCTAAAGGTGTGACTGGACTACAGATCACTGGTTACCATGGAAACAGGAGGCAAAAGCTCGTACTGATAAACAGGATTGCAAGTCTCCTTGATGCTGTCTCAGATTAGATTTAGTTGTTCACCCCGTTTTGAATAAGAAAAAAATATAAACAAAGGAAAAGGAGAGTAGGCCAAGGGTGTGGCTCAGTTATGGAACACTTCCCTGGGATGCTGGGGGCCCTGACTTCAATCCACAGTACCACACCTGTGAGCACATGCACTCGTGGCTGGGAGAGATTCAATAGGGGCAGAGAGGATGGTGAGGAGTGGGTTAGTTTCGTCTTTGGCCACTCTTCTACCATCTCAGAGCACGTTTCCTTCAAAACGTCTCTAAAATACACACACTCGGCGAGTTAGTATTTGAGCAAAGGAAGCTTTGGATTTTAGAAACTCATTGCACTACCTCTTGTGAATGTTACAGACAAATGAATGTGGGAGCTGAAAGGGTTAAGGATATAATTCACAGCAAATTTAATTAACGTTAACCATGACAACCATGAAAAAGGATGTTTTCCTTCTCAAAAGAATGAAGGATTTAAGAAAAAAAAACACAAAGCTAGACTACACGGCTTATATCCAGCATTACTGTCATTTTGTTTGCCTGTATAGCTTGTTCCAATAAGCCCTCACCTACGTTATAAAGGTTTTCATCAAGAGGACAAATGCTCCATAGCTATTTATTTTTGCTAAATGATTTGCCACAAAATTGCTTGCAATGTAAGGGACTCTTTGTCACTAAAATTACCCAGTTTCAAAAAAAAAAAGCCACCCCATGTCGATTGAGCTTTTAAAATCATGGCTCTGTTGAGTCCCTGACATTGGTTTATGTTGACAGACCTGGTCTCACCTTCCAGTCTCACCGCTGACTCCCTGGCCCTACCTCCACCACCACCCACCAAGGCCCGGCAGCAGCCTCCGTTTCCCTAGATGAATAAAATGAAAACAGGACAAAGATGTGTGTGCAGCCACCTTTACCTGAGGTGGCTTTGAATTATTCCTGTCTGTGTCACTAGAGAGACCCAAAGTATATTCCACTCCACTAGTATTAAATTCCGGCCACAGGACTAACAGATCTCACCAACAAATTACAAGCCAAGAGTTAGTCAGTATTATACATGAAAGGATAATGTATACTCTTTTCCCCTAAATACATTTAAGATTTTTCTTCAAAGCAAAATATGGGTTTATTTCATCCTTTTTCTTTCCCCTCTCCAACCCCAGCCTCACTGTTCACAGGGCCAGAGGAAAGAGTAACCTTGGCTTCATCGGTGTTATGAATTGTCTTGCTTCCCAGATAGCATTTGACAATGTCACATAAGAGTTGGAGAGACGGAGCTGGCATCTAGTTGATAGAGCCCTGGAGACACTCCCACAACAGTTATCCAGCCCAAAATACCAATCATTGTAATAATAAAAGGGCTGAGAAGCTCTGGTTGAAAATTGAGTATGATATTCTACCCAGATGGGTAAGGCAAGATTTTTTAAAATTTAATTTGAATTTATTTGTTTTTGGTAATGTTGGGCCCAGCAGAAGCTGCTTTTTTACTGTGGTGTCTTCCTCCGGGCATCACAGACTGACATGGGTTGGACTTCTGGTAGAGTGTTCTCTTTACTGGTTCTTTAAGATACCCTTTGTCTACTACAACAGAAATCTGGCCTGTTGCTTCAAGAGCAAGGTCAAAGATTACCACTGAGAAATTTGAATTCCATTCCCTGTTACAACAGGCTGGATCACTGAAAGAAAATGGCTTAACTCCAGCTCCCCATTTTACCTGCTCTTTAAGTTTGTAAAAGGATAGCTGGAAACCTGGCTAGACCCTTGTTTAGGAGGAAGCACCAGGCTTGAAGTGGGAGGAACTGGCTGGTGTGGGCATTGTTAGCAGGATGCAGAATTTTCTCCAGACGAAAGCAACGTGAGTCTCCTTGAATAGTTCTCACACCCTCCCATCCCCCATAATTCCCCCACAAATCCCTCAGTTCCCAAGTAGATTTCTATTCACCAGCACTTTGTATGAACAAACCACATAAAACCAAAGGGAACACGGGGTCTGCCTGCCAGCCAGCAAGGGCTCTTCCAGGCAAGGCATGCCTGTTGCCACAAGACACCAAGCAAGGGGTTAAAGTGTAAGGGCTTTGGTGTGGGGAAATGGTCCCTAACTTGGGGGCTCCCTTCCCTCTTAAATACTTTAGAGGATAAACTATTACAGCATAAAGAATGTTGTAGAACATCTGCTAGCTCTACTGAGACTGTCAAAGGGGGCTGCGGAGCGGGAGAGCGGTTAAGTCTGCCTCTGCAGCATCAGTGGGGCCCACTTCTACACACAGTCAGCTCCTGCTCCGTTAAACTAATGAAAATAATTCTGATTTAAGTCCAGTGCAAGGAATGGTGCCCGGAATAAATTGGCAAATGCAAAATCAAGTAGCCAGCAGAACATCAAGGACTCAGCCTTCTGTTACAAGCAAATCAAAAGATGCTGCGTGGCCCACTTGAGAAGTAAGCACTGCCCAGATCCCAGCGTCTGCCTGCCTCTGATCTTCCAGTGAACCCCTTAAGATCCCAGGCAGCTTCTCTAACTCCCTTGTCTCTTAAGCTCAGGCAGCTCCAACTCCAATGAAGCTGAATGAACATCGGGGTGAAGACTTGATCTCCAAATCAATAAGGTGATGTGAAACCAGAGAGTGAGATTGGAAATGTGTGAAGCGGGGGAATGAAGTGGACAGTTGCATGAATGTGCCCTGGGAACATGGTGCAGTGGGAAAACCCTGGCCCCCATGCTAGAGTGTCAGTATTCTTGGAAGATTTTTAAGTTTCATTTTCTTTATTGTTTTCATCAAAACCAAGCACAAATAAAGGTGTCAAAGCAAGCTTTCGTGTGCTTAAAGGGAATTGCTGTGCAATGTGTATAGTATTGTCCCAATGAGATTATAGATAAATGGTGGGGGTGTCTGCAGGGTTTGTCCCCAGACAGTGGGTCCCCCTGGGAATTTATGCTACTTCTGAAGTGGGGTTTAAGGTAACTTATCTTTCTGTGCTGTCTAATTCTATGTCAGCTTAATACAAGCTAGAGTCATCTGAGAGAAGGGAACTCAAGCTGAGAATGCGCTTCCATCAGATGTTGCTGTGGGCAAGTCTGCAAGGAATCTTCTTAATTAGAGGCTGACAGAACAGGGCACAGCCCACGGTGGTGGTGCCACTCCGGAGTGGTGGTCCTGGATTCTGTTAAGAAAGCAGACTGGACAAGCCATAAAGAAAAAGTTAGTAAGCAGCTCCCCTTCATGGCCTCTGCATCAGCTCCTGCCTCCTGGCTCCTGTCCTGTTTGAGCTCCTATCCTGATTTCCTTCCATGATGAACAGTGATGTGAACTCCTACACCAAATAAACCCTTTCCTCCTCTACTTGCTTTTGGTCATGGTGTTTCGTTCATCACAGCAATGGTAACCCTAGCTAAGACGCGTTTTAATGCCATGTTATAAAATTCTGAGTTTAATGAAGAATTTTTGTAACTGCCCATGTACTGATTTAGAGACTAGACTATACATAACCTGGGGAGTTACCCAGTACTCAGGAATATCTGCCAAGAGCCTTTCCTCTCATCGGTTCTCCCAGCACTGCCTTTTTTAACGTCATGCCTCCCACAGCTCTCTACTTCACTTGTATCTGACTGTCTCCACTTGATGAAGAATGTACCTCATTCTGACCTCAGAACAGAAAGATCAGGCTTGGCTGCTGGACTTCTAGAGCCAATGACCTCTCTGTTCTGGCATTCTTGGTTTGAAAGTGACGCATCAATGAATAGCAATTACAGGAACAAGGAGTTTTTGTCCTGGAGTTAGCCTTCCCTATTCATCGATACGTTACCTTTTTATGTTGATGAACCCAGATTACTGTGCTACATTCTGCTTTCTGCGTAAACCTTTTGCTTCCTCCTAGCTCTGTCTGAATAGACTGTTACACAGAATCATTGCCAAATCAGAGCAGTTCAACACTGTACATTGGCAAGACATTACTCTCCTCCATCTAGCTCCTCATAACGCAGCTATGACAGCTTCCCACTTCAAAAGGTTTTTCACCCTTTGAAATATTCTGTATACAGGTCTAGTATTGAACCTATCAGTCACAGCTGTGTTGATTTTTATGGCTCTTGCCCTCCAATAAGATTAAACAAATTCAGTACAATCAAAAGAACTTAAGAAAGCCAGTTCATCCAGAACTCTTCTACCAATACACCCAATAATTCTGTATAAGTGCGGAGTGGTTTTGAGTTGCACATTAAAGTGAGGACCCATAAAAGTCTATTTAACAATTTATTAAGGGGTGCAATGAAAAGCAAACTCACTAATACCAAACGAGGCAGACGCCGCTGATCCCCCTGCTGCTCTCTTGTTGTTCTCCCAAGAGTGATGGGGACCATTTACAAGGTATGCTCTGACTACCCACGAGAGCTCACATGACTCTTCTCTGTTTTATCTGGTCACTTCTCCAGAGACAATCATGCTCATTGCAAGTCACCTCAAAAGTCAATGGCTAAACGGATCAAGCTTGTACCACAATGTATATTTCTTTTTTTTTCTTTTTTAAATACTTTTTATTTATTATGTATACAATATTCTGTGTATGCCTGCAGGCCAGAAAAGGGCACCAGACCTCATTACAGATGGTTGTGAGCCACCATGTGTTTGCTGAAAATTGAACTCAGGACCTATGGAAGAGCAGGTAATACTCTTAACCGCTGAGCCATCTCTCCAGCCCCCCCCTTTTTTAACTAATTCTCTGAAAATTTCGTACAATGCATTTTGATCATATTCATCTCTCTTCCCCTGCTCCTCCCAGATCCACCCTCTTTCCCTACTTACCCAACTTTGTATCCTCTTTCTGATTTTTAGACCCATCAAGTCCAGTTTGTGTTGCACATACATTCTTGGATGTGTGGTTTTCCACCAGAGCACGGGTGACGACAGCCAGAGGTCCCACAAAGAAAATTGCCCCCCCCCATTTCACAGAACATATCATTGCCAGCAGTAGTTCCTTGGTTAGGGGTAGGATCTGTGCCCAGCTCCCAGCTCCCAGCTCCATACTGGAATTTTGTCAGGCCTGTACTTGCACAGTTCCTGTGCACACTTCCCATGCCATTGTGTGTTCACACACGGAACTGTACTGCTGTGCCTGTAAAACACTGTTTCACTATGGCCACCCACAGCCTCTGTGTCTTCCCGTCTTTCTGCCCCACCTCAGCAATGATCCCTGAGCTTTGGGAGGGGAGAGGATGACATCATAGTCCTGTTTAGGGCTGAGCATTCTACACTCTCTTATTCTCTGCACCTTGGCAGTGTGGGACCCTATTAATAGTTGCATCTATTGAAAAAGGAAGCTTCTCTGACAAGAATTGAGAGGTTCGCTAGTCTATGGGTATAACAATAAGTCATTTGGAGTCGGTTTCCTTTAGCAAACTAATAGCAAAGAGTTCTTCTCTAGGGCCCATGACCTCACTAGCCACAGGTTTTTGGCCCCAATAATAATGACAAGAATGGGTTTCATTTTGTGGAGTGTGCCTTAGATCCCATCAAAGGGTATTTGGCCACGCCCATGGCATTCATAACACTATTGCTCCAGTGGACATGTCTTTACTATGCTAGTCATTATTGTAGCTCTTGGAATTCACAGCTGGGCAAGGCTGATGATACATTTCTTTACCAATAGATAAGGTTTCATTTTTCCTATGCTGATTCACTATTTGATCTATTTATTATTTTGTCTAGTTTAATTAATTAAAGGTTTCTTAAAAGTTCTGTGAATCAAAGTTTCTTAACTACCCATCCTTTCAGTCATCTTTTTCTTTTAAAAAAAATATGTATTTATTTATTTTGCATTCAGTGTTTCTGTCTGCATGCATGCTTGCTGTCCAGAAGAGGTCATCAGATCTCATTATAGATGGTTGTAAACCACCATGTGGTTGCTGGGAATTGAACTCAGGACCTCTGGAAGAGCAGCCAGTGCTCTTAACCTCTGGTCCATCTCTCCAGCCCCTCAATCATCTTTTTCAGTGGCAGAACTGTTTATATTTAGACAGACTGGTTTTGGGGATACCTACTGATCTCCATGAAGACATAGTTAGAGAGATGGATCGTCTTGGGTCTTAAGCACATATGCTTGGTTGTTAGAGGACAATGAATTAAATCCCTAGCTTAGTTCTACTTTCTAGATTTGTAGCTTTGTAAAAATTCTTTTTGTTGTCTGGCAAAACTTTTTCTGTGTAGACACAACATAGGTATCCCATGATAGACAAAAGTACAGATAACACTAAAGTCCAACCTGGCAAATCAATGAATTCTCTTCTTACAAAGGTACAGGTGATGGGTTTTGTACAAGAGCAGAAATGAATCCGAGAGAGCTGCATCACCAAAGCCCACCCCAACATGAGCTCACAAAAGCTGGGAATCTAGAGTGCAAGGCACACCTGCAAGCAGTTCAACAAGCTGGAATGTGTCCTTTCCAAATCTGGTCTAAGCCGGGCGATGGTGGTGCACGCCTTTAATCCCAGCACTCGGGAGGCAGAGGCAGGCAGATCTCTGTGAGTTCAAGTCCAGCCTGGTCTACAGAGCTAGTTCCAGGACAGGCTCCAAAGCCACAGAGAAACCCTGTCTCGAAAAACCAAAAACAAAACAAAAAAACCAAATCTGGTCTAAACAGGCAGCTCAGCTGGTTTCTGCTACTCCCAGGCAGCTGGTCTGGTCTCAAGAATCTTTACAAGTTTGACTTTTCTGAGTCTTCTTTGCAGCTTACTTCAATTAGCCTTAGAGGGACTCTCAACTTTTGTGACTTACTCTGACAGGGAGGAGCCTAGTGGATTTGGTCAGTTTCAGGGACTTCCTGAAGCTACTTTGAGTTGTTTACTTTCTACATACAGAGCTTTGCTACAGAATGAAATGTTTCAGCCTGGGGAGAATTTGTTATATGGCTCCTTCCTTCTTTCTTATTTGGAGAAGGATGTTGCCTACTTCTTGAGATTGTTCTAAGTATTACATTTTTTAAATATGGAGAATTTAACCCACTTGTATAACACACTCAGTAAGTGTTTTTAGAAGTTAATTTTGCAGCATCCCAGTAGAACCACTAAGGGGAGAATCTAGCAAATGTTAAGCCTGGGCCAGGGAGAGCAGAGGCTATCAACAGCCATCATGGAAAATTAGCAGTACATATCAGCGCATTTCCTCAAGGACTTTAGTTCTCAGCTTCCTGGCAGTTGACAACAAAAATATTCTAGACTATATAATTTCCATTATCTACTAAAAGAAAAGGTTACAGTGTGTAAAGAAGGACAGGTCTTCCTACCACCCAGCTCTGAGAGGATACTGTTGTACAGCCCTTACCTTGCTTGGTACTGTTGATAATGCAAAAAAAAAATAATAATAATTTCACAAGGGACAACTTTAATAAGTTTTTAAACTGGAAATGATAATAAATGAAGCCATGTATTTATTTATCAATCACTACACTACCGAAGCTGACATAGTATGACTCTACTAAACAATTTTCTGAGGAGGTGAAAGTAATGCTGTCCGAACAGGAAATTCTGTGCAGGGATTCTCTGTTGGACAGCATCATAGCTCCCATTAAGGGACCAAAGCTCGAGGCTGGAGAGATGATTCAGTGATTGAGAGCACTGACAGCTCTTCCAGTGGACCGGGGTTCAATTCCCAGCACCCACATAGCAGCTCACAACTGTCTGTAATTCTAGTTCCAGGGGACCCGACACCTATGGCAAAACACCAATGTACATAAAATTGCAAAAATAAATAAATAAATTTTAAAGAGAGAGAGAGAGAGAGAGAGAGAGAGAGAGAGAGCCCAATACTCTGGAAAGTACTCACCCCAAGTACTGCCTCTTCTGTTGAGTCTCAGGTGGAGCTTGGCAATCAGGAGAGCCCAATCTCTTGGGATAACCAGGGACGAAGATAAGGGAGTTCCAAGACCTCCCTTAAATTCTTTCTTTTTCTCCTCATCCTCATCTTCTTCCTTCTGCCTCAGCCTCCTCTGCTCCTCACAGTACTGGAGACTGCACACAGACCTTGAGTATACTAAGTAAACATTTCCTTAGATTCTTGTCAAATGCCAGATACTTTAGAGTGAACTTGTACTGAAGATGAAAATTTAATTTAAATGCTGCATTAGCTAAAGCAATCAGTCAATAAAGAAAGAAAGAAGTTGTATTTTAAGACCTTCTATTCTTTCCCTTCTCTGCTTTTTTCTTCTTTTCCTTTTTCTTCTTCATTTGAGACCATGACCTACATTTTAACCATGATAGAGAGTTCTCCCACTTCTCACTGGAAATCCATTGGGAGAATCTGTCATTGGACTCTTTGCATCCTGGCTTAGCTGTTGGACTCAAATGCCTTCGTGTGACAGAGTAGATACCGCAGAGTTCAAACTCCAGGAAACAGAAGTGGCAATCTAGGCCAGAAAGTTTTTTTTTAATTTATTTATTTATTAAAGATTTCTGTCTCTTCCCCACCGCAGCCTCCATTTCCCTCCCCCTCCCCCAATCAAGTCCCTCTCCCTCATCAGCCCAAAGAGCAATCAGGGTTCCCTGCCCTGTGGGAAGTCCAAGGACCACCCACCTCCATCAGGTCTGGTAAGGTGAGTATCCAAACTGCCTAGGCTCCCACAAAGCCAGTACGTGCAGCAGAATCAAAAACCCATTGCCATTGTTCTTGAGTTCTCAGTAGTCCTCATTGTCCGCTATGTTCAGCGAGTCCGGTTTTATCCCAGGCTTTTTCAGACCCAGGCCAGCTGGCCTTGGTGAGTTCCCAATAGAACATCCCCATTGTCTCAGTGTGTGGGTGCACCCCTCGCAGTCCTGAGTTCCTTGCTCGTGCTCCGTCTCCTTCTGCTCCTGATTTGGACCTTGAGGTTTATGCCCAGTGCTCCAATGTGGGTCTCTGTCAACATTTACTAGCTGGATGGACTCAAAAGTGTCCTGCATGACTCCTGCTTGTGGTGGGGAGAGACATTTGATTCAGGGATGTGGCTATCAGTGAGTTTCTCCGTAAGTAACCCTAGTTAAACTAATTGGTTCATAATAAAAGAAAAGAATTTGCTGCTTCATCTTGGAAGAAAGGGTAGAAAGAATACGACGACCAGAAGACTGGAAGAAGGGCTGTGAAATGTCACCATCTGTCCCCAAAAGCCATTACAGTGACCATCTCACAGCTGCTACGGGTGCCTGCACCGGAGCTGTGCAAGACCAGGGCTCACATAGGTCAGTCAAGGAGCAGGAGGGACTCAAAAGTCAGCCTCCACCTACGAAGGGATTCTGAGTGTGTGCCCACAGGAAAGGCCGCCAGGCTCCAGTGAGTAGTACAGACTCATGACCACAAACAGCCCTAGCGTAATTCAAGACAACACGAAGACATGAATATGAGTAAGGGCCTTATAAAGAGGAAGGGCCGACAGGGGTGGAAAGGAGATGGAGAGGCCGAGGTGAGAATAACTAGAGTACTTTGTACAGGTTTATGAAAATGTCAAAGATGGGAATTAATGAATGGCAAATAAAAATGATTTCTTTCATAGAAAAGAAATGTAATTAATTATTACATACCTGTTGTAACCAGCAATATTTCTAGCATTGTGCTTATTTAATTATGTGTTATTTATTTTGGCTTCTTTTGTTGTTTTTTTTTTTTTTGTTTCTTTGAAATAGGGTCCCACTCATAAAGATCCATGCCTCTCCATCTGCCTCTCCATCACAGGGGCTGGGATTAAAGGTATGTACTCCACACCTAGCTTCTAGCTTTCTTTTTCTTTTCTTTTCCCTTCTTTTCTTTTCTTCTGCTTTCTTTGTAATCCTGATGGCTTCTTTCCTTTTCCTGCCTTCATTTTCTGGCATCACCAGCAGAAGCTTGCACAGATGTAGTTGTGGAAAGAAGCCTCGCTTTACACGGTCACATTCAGCTCATGCAATATGGGCCATAAGCTTCCCTAGCTTGGAGGCCTTCATCAGTTTGAGAGCACCCTGCCACTCCTTAGTTTGCATGGTTATTTCAAACTGCTTTCCTATTTTACAAACAACTAAAAGGTGGCAGATCCATTCAAGAAAATCCAGAGACACTCACTTGGTTGGTTTCTGCCCTGTCACGGAGACTAAGCCAGAGAAGTGTTCTCATGAACCATCTACTGATCTGGAAAAAACAAGTGTCAGCGTTAAGATATGTCTTGGGACCAACGAGACCTTGTGCACAAACACAGTGAAGGAAATGTGCTTCTAAATTCATGGGGAACAGAAGTTAAGGATACAGTTCTGTTGATAGGAAGATGTCTCTCCTTAGCTTTCTCCTGCAATTGATGGGAAGCCATGCAGAGACTCAGAGGCAGACAGTGGGCAGAGAATGAAGCCTTGGAACACTCGGTTCTAAATGGGATGTCTCCATCAGATCCACCCCTCCCGACTCAGGTGAGGTTGTGAAAGAGGAGGCAGAAAGACTCTAAGAGCCAGAGAGAGTGGGGGACACCAAGAAAACAAGGTCTCCTAGGACTGAGGCCATGACCTCACAGAGTCTGTGCAGCATGCACAGGGCCTGTACTGGTCTGGGCCAGATGGGATCCCAGCGCCGAGAAGAGACGTGGACACAAGCCCCACCTCAACTCAGAAGCTATCTCCAACTATAACCGCTCACAAAGGAAAGATTCATTTCTCCAGTGGATTCACCACGTTTAAGGCCAGGCGCCATGGCAAGCAGCGGATGGCCAGCAAAAACTAGTGCAGAAACTCAGTGCTATTTGGAAGTTTTGTTTTTTGGTTTGTTTTTGGTTTGTTTGGGGGGGGGTATTTTTTAATCTCACGGTGTTTTGTCTGTTTTCTTTCTTTTGTTCTTTATTTATTTATTTACATTTCAGATTTTTTTTGCTTGTATTTTGTGGTTTCCAATTTTGTTTTTTCTGTGTGTTTGAATGGGTTTGAATGTGTGTGTCTCCTTGTGCTTTTTCTTTGGCACTCTCTCTATCTTTCTTTCCTATTTTTTGTCCTATTCTGTTTTATTTTTATTTTTAATTTTTTGCTTTTCTTTGAGACAAGATTTCCCTGTGTAGCCGGGCTATCCTGGAACTCACTCTGTAGACCAAACTGGCCTCGAACTCAGAGATTCTCCTGCCTCTGCCTCCTGGGTCCTGGGATTAAAGGCATGCACTATCACACCTTGCTGCTTGCTTTTATTTACCTTACTTATTGTTATTATTATTATTTTAGATGTCTGTTTGTATTATAAAAAGATAGAGAAAGAAAAGGTGTGATTTCAGTGGGTGGGGAAGTGGAGAGGATCTGGGAGGAGCCAGCAAAGAACAGAATCAGAATTTACTCTATGAAAAAGATCTATTTTCAAGAAAAATGAAATTTCTCTCCTTAAAATAATAATGTCTCTTTCTGCTTGGCTGAATTTCAATGGTCTTATAAATTCCAACATTACAATGATAAATCTAAGACACAAGAGATTTTCCAGTGTGAACAGGACATCTTATGAGACCTCTTTGGACATGAGAAACCTAGATTTTTGAACCTGAGTTTTGTTTTTGTTTTTTTCCCCACCCTTTGGACCTGAATTTTATTTGTATAAAAACTATGAGGGCTGGGGGCTGATGAAAGAATATGTTTATGCAGGACATGCAAAAGACCCTGGGTTCCATCTCCTGACAAAAACAAAATACGATTCCACATAGGAAATAATAACATTAATATTCTGTTTTCCTTCCCCAGAGAAGTAATAACACTGAGATAATGGTTCTCTCTGAGAAAATGCAACATGCAGAGTCTGACGCTAACAGCTTTGGGGACTACACCTCCTCTACTGAACGTCTGCTTCTTTGACTTTGGTTGCACCTGTTTTTACTTTCCTTTTATTGTACTTTGCTTTTGAAGCAAAGCTATCTTCTATGTGTCCCAGGCTGTCCTGGAACTCAGCCCGTCCCCACCACAGCCTCCTAAGCTCTGGGATCGTACACGTGTGTCTACACACCAGTCTCTTCCTTGCAGTTTAATTAGACAGCATTTTAAGTATTCCAATATTTTGTCTTCATAAAAATTAAGAACTGAATGACATTCTTAAACTTGTTTACTTTTGCCACCAAGAAATCAAGAGGCTCAGCCGGGCGGTGGTGGCGCACGCCTTTAATCCCAGCACTCGGGAGGCAGAGGCAGGCGGATCTCTGAGTTCGAGACCAGCCTGGTCTACAAGAGCTAGTTCCAGGACAGGCTCCAAAGCCACAGAGAAACCCTGTCTCGAAAAAACAAAAAAAAAAAAAAAACAAACAAAAAAAAACAAAAAAAAAAGAAATCAAGAGGCTCATAATAATAACAGCTATCTGAGAGAAATGTTATTCAAAATACTGGCTGCCTGTGTTGGTCATTTTCCTATCATTTTAACAAATATCTGACATATTGAACTTATAGGGAGGCAGGTTGTACTCCCACGGTTTTGAAGGTGTCAGTCCAGGATCAGCTGTCCCAGATGGGTTTGGGTGTGGGACAGAACAGAACAATTTGCACCTCATAACTGGGAAGCAAAGGAAATAGAGGAAAATCCCGGGGTACCACAATACTCCTTGAAGGGCATAAATTCAGTGACCTTCCATAGGTCAACCTCTTAAACACGCCACTACTTCCCATTAGTGTCAGAGGCGGGTAGCCACACCTTAACACACAGGCCTTTGGCACCGCCCATCTCTGGTGGAGATCTGAATTCCCCGCCCACTGATAACAGACTTGAGGTTAACACCGATAGCTGTATGACTTGAGATGCTCCTCCACGTGATAAAACCTGCCTGCGCCACTGAGGTCGGGAGTGACTGTGTGTCTTATTCTCATCATTGAATCTAGGAGAGACATTACACATATCGCCGCTGAGCCCAAGTTCAAGAACAAGCTGATGGCGGCTCACCCCCTTCTTCCTTTCACCTCAAGACCTACCAGCATCAACTCAGATGGGCTCCACCTCGGATACCCAGGAACACAATTCAGTGATGGATATATATGGACAAGAAATAAATGTGAATCGCTGAACCCTGGGGCAATTTTTTACTGAAGCATAACTTGCTGTAAGTTGACTAATAGGTGTCTTTTAAGGTGAATGTGAAGATAAGTGGGTCAACATTTGTAAAATATTTATCCCCATACATGGTATATTTTAAATTAAAAAAAATGTTTTTATATAATATATTTTGACCATGTTTTCCTCTCTCTCAGCCCCTTCCAGATCCCTACATACCCAACTTCCTGCTCGTTCTCTTTCACACACACACACACACACACACACACTCACACAACCAAAACAAAAAAAGAGCAGAAACAAACAAAACTCAGAAATGAAAATCAGAGCAGCCAAAAGACCAATAAAACAAAAATTGTCCAAAGCAAAAATAAACATAAAAATCTACAAAAAAAAATATCCCTGAGCTGTTTATTTTGTGGGTCCAACTACTCTTGGGCATGAGGCCTGCCCTGGTATGTGGATGATACAGCCACTGTTCTTAGTTCAAACCTGGAACTCCCACTGGGTCTCTCAACCCAGACCAATCTTTGTGTTTACTCCCTCGTCAGACCAGTCCCAGCAATAATACTTCCTTGCTTGGCTCCTTTAAAGAAAAACAAAATGTGTTCACACTATAATTTTCACAGAGACTCTGGATGTCATTTTATTCCCCCACAGAACCCTTGCAGGGTCCGGGATTTAAAAACAAGAAATGCCCAAGGTTGTACAGGAAGTCCCTCCCGACCCTTTCATCTGAGATAGCCTCCTGCAGCTCCCTGGTTCCGACATGAGAGGAAATGTACCTGGAGGCACACACTCGGACCACAGAGTAACTGCTACTGCTGAGCCCAGAGGAGAGCATCAGGCATAGGCCTGAGAATGAGGACTTAGCCTAGGAACAGAGGCCTTCTATAACTGTCCTATAATATGAGCCCCAGAGGCTGTATCCAGAAAGACATCCCTGAGATGATTAATACTGTCGATTTGAAAAGAAAAAAAAAATCTAGTATCACCTCAGAGGCACACATGCCCACGACTAAATTGTTAGAGTAACTGAAAATGGATGTCACTCATTCTAAATGTGGTGGCATGAACACATGAGCTATAATCATGAAGGGAATAAAGAGGAAGAAATGAGCTGAACACTGGCATTCCTCTCTCTCTCTCTCTGTTCACTGACTGGATGCTATGGAGCCAACTGCCTCATGCACCAGCTACACAGACTTTTTGATCTGGAAAGTGTGGGGAAAGGGTCAGCTGGTCATTCCTCTGCTGCTTTCTTGATCTATCAGGTTTTGACCCCAATATCTGACTCCCAAGATCCTATTGATAATGTAACAATTTAGATAAATACTTCAAGGCCCTAATTGATTTAATTAATGCTTTCTTTAGTAAGAGCTGCCATGGTCATAGTGTCTTATCACAGAAATAGAGCACTTACTAAGACAGATGATAAGACTCTTCAGTAAGGAAGGTAGAATAGAAATGAACGTTTAAACAAAGGACACTGGTAGATAAGAACTCCTCAAACAGTTGGGTTCTTTGTCCAAATAATACCGTTTCAATTGGAGAACAGAGGACACACTGCGGCCTTGTCATTATAAAGGATGACACTGAGGGAGATGCGATTTGCCTGGCTTTCCTCTGAAAGGCAGAGTTGTCTGCTTGACAATGGCAAAGGCAGGTGAAAGAATTCAGCAGCGGTAAAAATACCACACCCTGGAGATAGGCAGTGAGAATCATTTTAGATGGAAGTCTGGGTGCTGGAGTACACTCTGGATCCTAGAGGAGATGTCTAATTGTTGGGACATTTGGAGTCCTGGCCTCCAGCTGCTCTTCCCTGCTAGAGATCTTTACTTTCCTTCTGATTTGAGTTACTAAAGGCTGTGTCAAAGTTGTTTACCAGCTCTGCTTCACGAGCACGTGCTGCCTTGCCTTGAGGATCAGAGGATAAGGTTTTCACCTGTTGGCCCACCTGACGGTTGGGTATATAAGCCTCCAGGGTGCTATTGAATAAAGGGCTTCTTACCAGTAACTAAAGGTTCATGTCCCTGTCTCTCTGTCTCTCTCTCTGTCCTTCTGTCCTTCTGTCCCTCTCTCCCTCTGTTTCTCTGTCTGTCTGTATGTGTTTGTGTGTTTTCAATCTCCAGCCCCTTGCCCGA